CGTCTTAGCTAAGTCGCGTCTTATTTTATACGAAATGTGCCGTTTATACGGAAATTTCGCGTCTTATTTAAGACGCATCTTATGTAAGACGCGTCCTAATTTTCCTCGTATAAATGGCCCTATTCTGCCTGAAAATTTGGGCTACAAACCAGTTCCCAAGAGTGCAAAATGTCCACTTCTGGTTGACGTTCGTCGTTCAACAGCAGCTCCCTATCTATTAGCCTAGCCAACAGAGTCGTACCTTTCGAAACACAGTCCAAACAAACACAACTCAGACCGAATCAGAGTAAATCTATGTAAAATTTTTAAAATTGCAATTCAAAAATAAATTGGAAAGCTATAAGTGCTTTTAAGTACGTTTATGAGTGAATCTTTTTTATTTATTAAAATTTTTGTCCAAAAGATAAGTTCCGTTACCGGTCTATAACAAGAGCGAGAGCAAGAAAAAAAGGGCAACCTTTGCTTTCTTTTTCGCTCGTCCCGACTATCGAAGAGTTTGAACGGGATATTTGTATCCTGTTATGTCAAAATTAGTATTTTTACAATACAATGAAACCTGTATTAAGCGGACGCCCCCGCGGAATTCTGTAGTGTCAGCTTAATACAGGGTGTCCGCCTAATACAGGTTTCGATAGATAACGTCATCGCTGTCAAATGCCATTCAAATGAACAGTGGAAACGTTTAGAATACTCCCACACTATGACGATATACGTTTGCATTAATTTCTTTATTAAAGAGGACTTATTGATGATAGTACCATAAACATAGATTGCAACTCAAATTTGAAGAACTCAGATGAGTGAAACAAGCTCTATACAAACAAAACGAAATAGAAAACAACACTGTACTGTGAAACTAATCAAATCAGGTCGTCTAATCCCGTTTTTTAAAGTAAAAATACTGAAATTTGTGGGTGGCAATCTTTCGCATTTCCGGTGTCTGGCATGTTGGGTGGTGGGATTTAATTACAAGTGTCCGTTTAATACAGGTTGGCAACAATAGAAATTACCATTTCAGGTACTTTTTAGGTGTCCGCGTCCGCTTAATAGAGGTGTCCGCTTAATAAAGGTTTCATTTAAAGTAAATAAGGGAAATAAATTTGGGGACTTCGGCTA